TTGAGCGGGCCGCGGAGTGAACGGTACGTTTAGGGTGTTCCGAGGAGAGTGGGATGGGACCGCATGGAGCACGCACACCCACCCACCCTCTCATTCCCTGCTCAGCGCTGCGAAAGTCCGGGCCCCCTAGCGTTTAAGAGATTCCCGGGGCTGGGCCAGCAGCTGCCCAGAGCCACACAGCACATCTAGGCATGGTGTGTGGATGGGAGACGTGGCCTCTGATTTTCTGTCTGCCGTTGATACTTCCCAAACAAGGTTTCAGCGGATGCCCACGAGTTATTAGGACAACCCATGCGGTGCCCTTTGATGAACCCGATGACCCCCTCACCTCCAAATAAACTTAGTATCCAAGACACTTATTTGCCAAGTCCAGCACAGAGGCACACAGCTGTGGGCCCAGGCCAGGGGCCTCTTGGGTCCTTGGGAGAATCTCAGTGTACCGGCAGGACTTGACCTTGGGTTAGCCCTCTGAACCTCAGTGTTGTTATCTGTGCAATAGGAGAGAAAAGCCGGATAATCTGTAGGAGGCAGGAATAGCTTTCTGTGGGAGACTGAAGTGTAGCCTTGTGTGACTTGCAGGCTCCTGTGTGTACATATGTTTCTACTTGCTCTCTGGAAGAAACTGCGATAGTTTTAGAGGAAAGCAGAAGCTGAAAAGATTGACCACACAAAGCCAAGCAGTCATTCTTGGTAGGAGGTGTACATTGTGAGTGCTGTGTATCCAGGCGGTGGCTGGGCCGGGCTGCCTATTTGCCTTTGCTGTAAAGCGCCTCTAAAGCTGAGAACACACTGAACACATCACCCGTGGACATGGACGGTTTCTTTTTTTAGCCTTCAAGCCCGGGGTGGTCGCTCAGTTGGCTTGATGGAGCCGGCCCTGAAGGACGTGTCCAGATCTCATTATCCTTCTGTCTGAGCCGCGAGCACCTGCAGCCCTGCTATCTCTTCTGTCCCAGCTTATGAGTAGCGGGCTGATCCCCTATTGCGCGTGGTGTTTCGGAACTAAGCCGATTTCTTTCACGTGAAAATAGAAAATAAATAGGCACGTGGTATGCTTGGTATGCGGTATGCAGCCGGTAAGAAATAGCTTCAAGTAGTCTTGTGTGCTGTGTCTGCACCATCTCATTCCCCAGGACCCTCGGCAGCCCCTCGTCTAAACTTGGGTGCTGAGGGCAGTCACAGAATCACAGTAACCAGCTTATTAACTACCGAGCTGCAGTGTGGGCAGGTGGGGAGGATTTTCGTGTTCTGTCATAGCAAATGTTCTGCCCACTTCCATTTTCAGCTTTCAGAGTCCACACTGGTTTGATTTGGCCATGTCATTTCTGGTAATCCTCAAAAATATTTGGCTAGTTTCTTGGGAGGGGCAATAGATGTTAAGTTTAAGATAGTATAAAATAATATCTTAAACACTTAAGGGCTTGACCAATTACATCCAACCCTTAAAATATCTGTATTGTTGCTAGGTGGTGGTGGCACATGCCTTTAATCCCAGCACTTAGGAGGCAGAGACAGGCAGATCTCTGACTTCAAGACCAGCCTCGTCTACAAAGCTAGTTCCAGGATAGGCTACAAAACTATGGAGAAACCCTGTCTCAAAAAACAAAATAAAACAAAACAAGTATATGTATGTGTGTGCATGTATGTGTGTATGTATGTATGTGTGTATACATATATATCTATCTATCTGTATTGTGTGCATATGTGAATATGACCTTAACAGAGATTGCTAAATTAACAAAAATCATGTTTTCCAATATAGTTACCATTTGTGCCCTGACTTTTTAGACTTGGTAAAGAGGAGTGGGCTTCGGTTCACAGGTGAGAAAGCAGAGCCAAGAGGCCCAGTTCTGGTTCACTGCAGCTTCTCTGCGTCCAGACAGCCTTGGGATCCAGGTAGCCATGGGAAAGCGATTCTTATCTGTCTAAAAAGGTTGCAGTCTCTAAGTGACATCACAAACCATGAAAATCCACATGCTCTCTTACTCAGGATGCTGGCCCTTAAACACTGGAGGACGCTGGATGCTGCCCGTGAAGTAACCTGGGAGTATAGTGGTCCCAGGTGTATGTCTGGAGCCCTTGGCCTCACCCTGGCCTGTGTTCTGCCTGTGTAAAATTGGAGTCACGCTGCTCTCCCTCACCTGTGAATGCTGGGCGAAGGCTGGCCCCGCCTCTCTCTCCCTGCCCAGGCACTCCAGATAATGGGATTGATTAAGTCTTCCAGTAGGAATTGTCCTCAGGGGAGAAAGGCTTTTTAAAGTACATTTTTGTCCTTATGAATAATTCCTCCAGCTGTTGTCTCCCCACGCCAATCCCAGCATACACAGAGAACATTCCAGGGCCTTGGGCTATGGATGGGTTCAAGAAGGAACTGAACAATATCCGAAGCCAGAAAGGGCAAGTCCTGTGTTGGCAGATGGGGTGGTTATAGCTAGTTTTCTTTTGCTCATTTTCTAGATCTCTCTTTGTTTTTGGAGAAGGAAAAGATAACTGAATTTGGCGGCTCCTGGGAGCCTGGAAGGTCATGGAGGAAGCGATCTGACTGAGTGGATTTAGATGAGGAAGCTCTTCTCACCAAGTCCTTTGCCTCTCTGCTGGGGCTTTGAAGTTTGCGCTCTAGGCAGATTGTAACTTGCCTTAGTGGCAACATCAGTCAATTTTTGTAGTCAGTTGTGTGCGGAAAAGAAAATTAAATTCCAAGAGGGGGCTAGTTGTGAGGGATGCCAGGATTTTTATTAGGATCCACTCCGTCGATAAAAGTTCCTTCTAATTCCCTGAAGGTATTTTGTTTTTTAAAAAGTTTTTAAGCCATGGAAATGTCTCCATTGTGAGTCTCTGTAAGTGTCACCCTCGTAAAATTTTAAAACAAATGAGGCCCAAAACATCCGAGGAATTTATATTTTAACCTGTTCCTTCCCAGTTCTTACATTGCTTTAATAATGAGTTAATTTTGATTTCTTTTACATTTTGCTAGCCCAGTTTTTACACCGTAGAGCTTGCCTCTGCCCAATTCTTACTCATTGTTCAGAGGTGGTGTGGAAGTGACGAGCAGAGTGTCCTGAACCAGACTGGGGACAGCTGTAGAGTTGGTCACTCTTGGGGAGCTCAGATGTCATGACCATGACCCTGACAACACACCTGAGAGGCCTGTCCTATAACGCACAAAGCATGGGCAGTGATGGCTGACAGGCACATGGGTCTCACAGACACGAAAGCCTGACATGTTGTCTCCAGCGCTCAGAAGCATGCGTGGCAAATTTGAGTCTGTCATAGATGTGATGGTTCAGAGACACGTGGCCAACAAATGGCCACTCTTAGACCGTGGCCTGTGCGTGCATTGATTCTGGGCAGAGTAGGCCATGCTTACTCTTCTGAGGATAGGATACCACCACTGTCATGGAGTTTGGGAGCTTCATCAGTAGAGTGGCAAGTCTGCACAAGGAGTGTTAAGCACAGCGATGGAAATTAGCAGCAGAAAGAGTCCATTAATATAGTGGGCTCGAAACACAGCCCATGTGAAAAATACAGCACCGTGACCCTGTGATGGAGAAGAAGCACAATGTGTGGGGACCCTGTGATGGGGAGTTGCAGTGTGGGGAGACCCTGTGATGAGAAGGTCCACAGTGTGGGGAGACCCTGTGATGAGGAGGTCCACAGTGTGGGGAGACCCTGTGATGGGGA